ACACCCCTAGAGTGTTTCTGCTGAGAGTGTTTCAGGAAGAGCAAAGACACTGGAGTGGGAACAAGTTGAGCACGTTTAAGGGATCATGCCTGGCTGGGAGGAAAGAAGTAATAGCAGATGAGTTTTAGGGAGAGAAGGGCTAAATAATGAATGGTTTTGTAAGTCAGAGGGAGTTTGAATTTTATTTTAATTGCATTTGAAAGCCATGGGATAGTGCTCCTGTTGGAAAAAAAGCCTCTAAATGGATATATACCAATAACTATTTCTTTTTTTCCTTTTTTTTTTTTTGTTTTTATTTTGAGACGGAGTCTTGCTCTGTCACCCAGGCTGGAGTGCAGTGGTACAATCTCGGCTTACTGCAGCCTCTGCCTCCCGGGTTCAAGCGATTCTCTTGCCTCAGCCTCCGAAGTAGCGGGGACTACAGGCCCGCGCCACCACGCCTGGCTAATTTTTGTATTTTTTGTAGAGATGTGGTTTTTCCATGTTGGCCGGACTGATCTTGAACTCCAGATCTCAGGTGATCCGCCCACCTCGGCCTCCCAAAGTGCTAGTATTACAGGCGTGAGTCACCGTGCCTCGCCAACTATTTCATTTTTTAAGTTCCTATAGGATTTAAATTATTTATCTTTATGCCTCCCATTAATATAAATAGAAGAATATCAAGGAATAGGTTTATGTAACACATAGTTTTCCAGGTAGCAGATTATTTATAATAAATGTTTGTGAATATTACTGTTTTCATATTTAGGAATAACTACTGTAAGAGATGGTCTCAGGTGATTACCACAAGTTTTAAGTATCTTCTGCTCTAGTGTCTTCCATCTAAAGTTCAGCCATAATGCCATACTAAGAAAATCTTTATGTTGCATAAGAATTGCTGTGTGCACCAGCCTGGGCAACATGGCGAAACCCCGTCCCTACAAAAAATACAAAAATGAGCCAGATGTGGAGTCACACACTTGTAGCCCTAGCTACTTAGGAGGCTGAGGTACTGGGATGACTTGAGCCCAGGAGGCAGAGGTTACAGTGAGCCAAGATCATGCCACTGTACTCTAGCCTGGGCGACAGAAGGAGACCCTTTCTCACACACAGGAGGAAGAAAAAAAAAAAAGAATTGCTCTGTGCACACAGACCATCTAGCATTTCTTATTCTGATTTTTTTGGTGGAATATCTTGGGAACCTTGGTACCACTTTTCCTGCTTCTGGTCTTTGATAATATGCAGTTTTTGAAGTGTGGTTCTTAAACTCCTTTCATATTTCCCACAAAGGCATGCCAAAATGTATGACAGATGGGCAGAAGAACCTTAGTGTAAATATTCTGAGTCCAAGAAAGATGACCACAGCTTTTCTCACACATGTGTTTTCTTGAGTGCATCTGGCATACACCTGTGCCTTCTTGCTTAGTAACAATTTCAGAGAACTATACTTTTTTTTTGTTTACAATCTATACCTCCCAAAGCTTACTAGAAGAACTTTTGCCAACTCACATGATTATTTTTCTGTTATTTGCTTAGAACCTTACAATAGTCAATGTTTTGTTATTTTCAACGAGGGTTTAATAAATTTCTATGGATATAATCCTCTATATTACATGATAGGTACAGATAATTATACCATTTCTTTGTTTATATGGACAATATAGACATATATTAAATCATTGTTATATTGGAGTACATCAGCAAAATATTGATTCCACAGCTCCTCTAACCCTGTGTGCCTTGGAATGGTGTAATCTGTTTTCTTCAGCTGAATTTAGTATCTTTTCGTCATCATGGGTGATCAGCAGTTTCATCAAGATACGTATACTTGTGGATTTCCTTGTATTTGTCTGAACCAGGACACATTGTGCTTCCTGAGTCTATGAATTCTTATGTTTCATAATTTCTGGGAAAATCATCAGCCATGTTTTCTTTAGTATTTTCTCTTTTCCTTTCTTTCTGTTCTCTCATTTTGGAATTCTAGTTATATATGTTGGGCTCATCTCTCCATGTCTCTTCATTTTCCTTTTAAACTTTTCATTTAAAAATTTATTTTAGTAAATTCTGGAATTTTCTCAAATCTATTTCTAGTTTACTAATTATTTCTTAAGCTATATCTAAATGCTATTTATCCCACCTATTATGTCTTTAACTTTAGTAACTGTATTTTTTATTTTTGGAAATTCTCTTTGGTTGTTTTTTCAAACCTGATTTGCACTTTTTAATAGTGCCTTGCTTTTTTTCTTATGTTTTTTAATTCTATATGTCTTTAGTAATTTTAAGCAAAATTTTTATTTAATTTATTATCAAAATTTTATTATCAAAAGTTCTTGATAATGCGTTTGAAAACAGGATCTAATTTTCCTCTTGCTAATAAAGTTCTTTTTTTTGGTATATAAAATGGTTTGTATTAGGAGCTTATCTTCAACGATCTTTTTCCCTTGAGTATCCTTTTTGTCATTGAGGACATGTTTTCTAGGGAGGTTTTCCATCTGTTTCTGACAGATGCCCCAGGGTTATCAAAGTTCTGATGCTACTGCTATATAAATAACAGAATGGGTATTTGAGGACCACCCAGGTAATATAAGTTAGAGCCACTTAATACACATGGGATATTTCCCATTATTTTTAATTTTCCAGGGCGATATTTGTTTTTTCAACAAGTTCTCTTGCCAAGACAGGCAAACTTTCTTATTCTTTCCGGTTTCTGATGGTGTGATGTTTTTCTGGACCTTCAGGGGCCCCAGATCTAGGTAGGCAGCTCATTTAAAAATCCTTGTCTTATCTCAAATAGCTGTTAAAACTCTATTCCCTTGATTCATTAAGAGTGCTGACCCTCTCAATTTAATGACCCTAAGGTCATTAACAACCTTAGTTAATACTTTGTGTTTTAGTTCCTTCTTTTGAATTTTGAAACTTGAACTGTTATATAGTAAAATATTGCCAGAATTTAATTCTTCATTGTAGTTATTTAGTATTTCTTTTTTGTTTTTCTTTTGAATTTATTCCTGAAAATATTTGAATCTGTAAAGGTTTTTAATGATTTTTTTAAATATTTACCATTACCTCAAATATTTACCAGAGATATCATAAAAGTTAATACTATATACCAGAAAAATTATAGTTTTATAAGACTATTGACATTTATATTTTGTTATTACTTCTAAGGTCACAGGGCTTTCATATTTTGTGTCACTGATTTAATTTATCACATTATGGAGAAAAATGTATAATATGGACAAGTACCTTTTTTTTCATTGCCCTTGGTCATTAATGTTTGCTCTTATTTGGTTCCCTGCCAACTTTTCCATTTTAAGTTATTTTTAATACATCATATATTTTAGCACTCCCCTATGAGAGCACATCAGATGTTACATGTTTCTCACATTGGTCATTTTATGGAATTTGAGCTATTAGGCTATAATTATGGTGTCTCTCAGGATCTCAATCCTTCCTCTATAGTCACAGATTTTAATACTTCCTCCTGTTACTCTCTACTCGCCAGATCTCTTAATTCTTTAAAATTGACTTTCTTGAAATCCAATACTTATGTGTCATAGAACCAGATGATCCAATTTGCTTTTTTGGCAGACACCATATAGAACTCTGCTCATTGCAAGTTTAACAAAAGACCAGAGTATTCTCTGGACTACTCTGATAAAAAGAAAAAATGGTGTAGAAAGACTTGAATTTTAACCAGGCTTTTTCATGAGATAATTTATGCCAATTCTCTGATTTCAACTTTATCAGTTTATGATATAAGGGACTAATAAGGGCATATTTAAAAGGAATATTAAGTTAATAGCTTGAAGCAAAATTTGAGATATAGCTTGCTAACAAAACATAAATGTATATTAGTTGATAAAATAAAAAGTAAGCATATATGTAGTGGACTTGAAGATCTGTACCAGCCCACTTTTGCTTTCTCAATAATGTTTTCCAATTTCATCTTTTACCATGTACTTCCTTTGAAATTATTAATAATTTTAAATGTCAGATAAAAATATTCTGCTAAATAACTGATCAAAGCTGGGAATATATAAAGAAGAACTAAAATAGAGGCCAAAAGCTGTTTTGGTGTCAACTTGCCCTCCAGGTCCAATTCTGGAACCTTTGTTCTCATTGTGTAGCCTTAGCCCAGTACTTGAACTTCATTTCCTTACAGATAATAATGGGACTATTAACAGTCCCTACTTCACATACAGGATTGTTTTCAGGAAGCATTTAATATCTCACACAAAAACCTTAAGAACTGGGCATGGTGACTGAACACTTGTAAACCCAGCACTTTGAGGGTCCTAGGCAAGAGAATTGTTTGAGCCTAGGAGTTCAAGACCAGCCTGGGCAACATGAGGAGACTCTGTCTCTACAAAAAACAAAAATAGATTAGCCAGGCGTGGTGGTACATTCCTGTGGTCCCAGCTACTCAGGAGGCCAAGGTGGGAGAATCACTTGAGCCCAGGAGATTGAGGCTAAAGTGAGCCATGATCGCACCACTGCACTCCAGCCTAGGTGACAGAGCAAGACCTTGTCTTAAAAAAAAATGAATTAATATTGTTCTTAGACCTTAAAAAGAAAAGAATTAAAAGATTAAAAGGATATGCTCATGACCCTAATGAGGTCAGAAAGACAGCAGTTATCAAATAGAAGGTCAGATATTAAAAATAGGAAATTAAAAATTATTCTAAACAATAGTATGATTGTTGGTAACAAAAGTGATATGAAACTATTTGCAAGAACAAGAAGTAAACATTTAAAAATTAATTTGTTAAAAAGCTCTGGGATGATACTAATATGAAATTGCTTAATTACATCTGAATTTCTCAAGATGTTATCATCTTCTACAAATCTTATGGAATTGAAGTTAAGAAACGATGACTGTAAAATATGCAAATAGGCACTCTCAAAATAATAATGTAATTTTGCCATACATGTCTGTAGTACAAAGACTTGGACAAATTTAATGAAAATTATCTTTGAAAAAAGTGAAATGACTAATAATCTTTCACTCTACCTTTTAGCATACGGCGGCATCAAGAAAGGAGAGCAATTTTGACTCCCATTTTGACAGATTTTTCTGTCCGAATAACTGGAGCACCGGCTATCATTTTTACCAAAATCATTTCTCCAGAAAATCTGCATACTGAGGTTAGAACATAATTTTGATTTTATTTTAGTTTAAAAAATGGAATTGCTCCTCTTTGTATGTTAGGGATTGCCACAGTTTCAGCCCATAGGACTTCAAATTAGCTGATTAATAATAATGGCTCTTATCATAGCTAACATTTATGGATTTTGTAGTACACTTCAGTTATTGCTTTCCTTATAGTAACTCATTTAATCCTCATAATAATCTTATTTGTTATTCCTGGTATCCCTATTTTTTAGATGACAAAACTGAGGCATAGAGAAGCTAACCAAGCTACCTAGATTTTCACAAATAGTAAGCAGCAGAGCAGGGTGTGAAACCACCTGGTCCGACTCCATCCTCTACACTCCTAAGTACTACAGCCTCTTTTTAGTGAAAATAACAATAATACTGACAGATAATCAGATTACCTTACATAGTGAGTTCTACATAGATTATTTAGTCTTCACAACATTCTTATGAATTAGATACTAGTGTACATATTTTAAAGATGAGGAAACTGAGGTGAAAACAGATTAAGTAACATACCCAACATTAATTGGTGTATCCAGGTTTCAATTCTGATCACTATGACTTATTACCTCCAAATCCATAGAATAGAAATGTATTAATAGGGGAGGTTCCAAGATGGCCGAATGGAAACAGCTCCAAGCTACAGCTCCCAGCGTGAATGACACAAGATGGGTGATTTCTGCATTTCCAACTGAGGTACCAGGTTCATCTCCCTGGGGCGTGTTGGACAGTGGGTGCAGGACAGTGGGTGCAGCCCTCGGAGCGAGAGCTAAAGAAGGGCGAGGCATCACCTCACCCAGGAAGCACAAGGGTTAAGGGAATTCCCTTTCCTAGCCAAGGGAAACCATGACACACAGCACCTGGAAAATTGGGTCACACCTGCCCTAATACTGTGCTTTTCCAAGGATCTTAGCAAACGGCAACCCAGGAGATTATGTCCCACACCTGACTCAGAGGGTCCCGCACCCATGGGGCCTTCCTCATTGCTAGCACAGCAGTCAGATCTAACTGCAAGGCAATAGCAAGTCTGGGGGAGGGGTGCCCGCCATTGCTGAGGCTTGAGTAGGTAAACAAGATGGCTGAGAAGGTCGAACTGGGTGGAGCCCACCTCAGCTCAAGGAGGCCTGCCTGCCGCTGTAGACTCCACCTCTGGGGACAGGGCATAGCCAAACAAAAGGCAGCAGAAACCTCTGCAGATTTAAATGTCCCTGTCTGACAGCTTTGAAGAGACCAGTGATTCTCCCAGCACGGAGTTTGAGATCTGCAAATGGACAGACTGCCTCCGGAAGAGGGTCCCTGACCCCCGAGTAGCCTAACTGGGAGGCACCCCCAATAGGGGCAGACTGACACCTCACGGCGAGGTACCCCTCTGAGACAAAGCTTCCAGAGGAATGATCAGGCAGCAACATTTGCTGTTCAGCAATATTCACTCTTCTGCAGCCTCCACTGTTGATACTGGGCAAACAGGGTCTGGAGTGGACCTCGAGCAAACTCCAACAGACCTGCAGCTGAGGGTCCTGACTGTTAGAAAGAAAATTAATGAAAAGAAAGGACATCCACACCAAAACCCCATCTGTACATCACCATCATCAAAAACCAAAGGTAGATAAAACCACAAGATACGGAAAAAACAGAGCAGAAAAGCTGAAAACTCTAAAAATCAGAGCACCTCTCCCCCTCCAAAGGAACACAGCTCCTCACCAGCCACAGAACAAAGCTGGATGGAGAATGACTTTGAGGAGTAGTGAGAAGGCTTCAGACGATCAAACTTCTCCGAGCTAAAGAAGGAAGTTCGAACCCATCGCAAAGAAGCTGAAAATGTTGAAAAAAGATTAGACAAATGGATAACTAGAATAACCAATGTAGACAAGTCCTTAAGTGATCCGATAGAGCAGAAAACCATGGCACGAGAACCACGTGACTACGTGTATGCTTCCTTTGAGAAACGTCTGTCTGTGTCTTTGGCCCACTTTTTAATGGGGTTGTCTTGTAAATTTGGTTAAGTGCCTTATAGATTCTGAATATTAGACCTTTGTCAGATGGTTAATTTGCAAAATTTTTCTCCCATGTTGTAGACTGTCTGTTCATTCTGATGATAGTTTCTTTGGCTGTGCAGAAGCTCCTTAGTTTAATTAGATCCCATTTGTCAATTTTTGCTTTTGTTGCAGTTACTTTTGGCATCCTCGTCATGAAATCTTTGCCCATGCCAATGTCCTGAATGGTATTGCCTAGATTTTCTTCTAGGTGTTTATAGTTTGGGGTTTTACATTTTAGTCTCTAATCCATCTTGAGTTAACTTCTGCATATGGTGTAAGGAAGGGGTACAGTTTCAATTTTCTGCGTACAGCTAGCAAGCACTCCCAGCACCATTTATTAGAGAGTCCTTTCCATATTGCTTGTTGTTGTCAAGTTTGTCAAAGATCAGATGGTTGTAGGTGTGCAGTCTCATTTCTCAGTTCTCTATTCTGTTTCATGGGTCTATGTGTTTGTTTTTGTACCAGTACCATGTTGTTTTGGATACTGTAGCCTTATAGTATAGTTTGAAGTCTGGTAGTGTGGTGCCTCCAGCTTTGTTCTTTTTGCTTACAACTATCATGGCTATTCAGGCTCCTTTTTGGTTCCATTTGAATTTTAAAATAGTTTTTTTCTAACAAACAGAAAGGAATAGCATCAGTATCAACAAAAAGGACAACCATACCAAAACCCCATCTGTAGGTCACCAGCATCAAAGACGAAAGTTAGAAAAAACCACAAAGATGGGGAAAAACCAGGGCAGAAAAGCTGAAAATTCTAAAACACAGAGCGCCTCTTCTACTCCAAAGGATCACAGTTCC